TGTCTGTTTACATGAGTATGATCCACGCGATGCGCTCGTTCCACAGGGACATTAGTCACTGACGCAACCGGAAGTGAAGGGTAGTTTTTTCTCGGATGAATCCCATCGGCCATTCATGTTCTTGTTCGCTGCCTGTCAGTCATTTGTTGTTATTTCTGTGAAAACAAGAGTGTTAGGGAGTTGTTGAGGGGAAGTAATGTCAGATTCCTGTGTAGGTGTTCAGGGTGCTGCCATGACATTGGTGGTGGATGATGTGTGTGTGTGTGTGTTTGTGTGCCTGTATGTACATGAAGCCTCACCTTGGAAAGTGTTTGCTCCTGTCACCAATCCTCACGCTGCCAGAAGCTCCATTGCACTGTAAGACCCTCCCTCCGTGAGCAGCCATTGGCCAGGGAGCTGCCGATCCAAACCTAACCAATCCAGTTGTAATCCAGCCTGACTCTGGCCTCCCATGGACTGCCCAGCCCGCCCGTTTCCTATGCCAGCAGCTTAGAGCCGCACTGTGTCTCAGGACTTCCCCATCACATCACCGCCAAGAGACTCAAAGCAGAGAGCGCACGTCCATCCCAGTCCCAGTTCAGTCCGCAGGCCAGATCCACATCCCCTCACTCTACTTCCTGTCCGTCCGTCCGTCAGGTTTGTTGCGTTCACTCGTGGCCACGATTAAAGGAGCGTAGGATTAAAAAAAAAAAAAAACTCTTGGAATCAGAAGGGAGATTCTGTTTTTTACTTTGTGTGTGTGTGTGTAAGTGGGCATGTGTGTTGCTGATGATGAAAAAAGATGCAGAGAACTCATCTGTTCACTATGTTGTAGGGGCGTAGCTAGGAATTATGGGCCCCTTGAGAGGAGGATATTGCTCTGGGTCCCCTTTTTTTGTTTTACTTACAGTATACAAAGCTACTACTTTTCGAGCTCTCTCTAGCTGTGGGCACCATGGAATCGCCTCCACCTTTCACCCCCAGTAGCGACGGCACTGCTCTGACGGGGAAAAAGCGGGTAGAGAGCGAGTTTTTTTCTGAGACCGATTTTACTTTTTGTTTAGCTCACAGCCAAACGGTGGTATATGATAATACTGATTTCTGCATTTTGCATTCCTATACCTTTTATTGATTGAACTTCTTTTGCTTGGTCATATTGACTGAATGATCTGTTATCTGTCTGTCTCTGTCTGTCCCCCCTCCACCTTGCATCGCCCCTCGCCTCTCCACGTCTTTCTCACCCGCCTTACAGACCTTCAGAAGCAACTAGCATATGAGTTTAGGCCCCATGCTGAACAGCACAGTAACAGTAGGCTGATGACATCAGAATCTCCACCTCCGGGTTTAGACATCCTTTCAAGCTCACTAAGGATAGTGAAACTGTGTCAGATACAATACGTGTCCCTATTAGAGTTCATTTCCAATTTATTTTGTTGTTTTCTTTCTTCACACAGGAGATGCATGGATCACAGATAATGAAATTATCTTAAAAATGGCGACCAACCCCTCAGGGGAAATCATGCTAGAAATTTATATTTAAAAAAAAACATTATTTGGGTTCACGACCCAAAGTTCTGGCTAGTTTTGTCTTACTATCACTGTAATCAATCTGGGATTTGCAATGTGGAAATAGTGCAAGTGAGGGTAGTGTGCTTCTAGAGCTAGTTGAATTGTTAACACCCCCCACCCTCTTTCTCCTCACCCTGCACTCCCCCCTTTGCCCCCTTTACATGCACACATACATACCACACACCAGACACGGCTCACACATTATGAAGCACACACTGAGACATGCACACACACACACACACACACGCACACACACACACACACACACACACACACACACACGCACGCACGCACGCACACACACACACACACACACACACACACACACACACACACACACACACACACACACACACACACACAAAGCCTTTACCATGTTTGTGTTTGTCAAGAAGTTTGCCTTTGTCTTTTTTACCTCCCGACTCCCTCTCTCCTCCCTCCTCTCTCCCCCCCCCTCCCCAAACCCCTCTCCTATCACCCCCGACCCCTCTGCATGTCCTAGTGGTACTGGTAGTTGGGTGCATGGAAAAAGCAGCAAGCAAATCGTTTTTCCACTCGGTGAAAAAAATAAAAAATGTGTCTTCATTTTAACATTCAGCAATAAATCCCCTTTCTCTTCATGTCCATCATTTCTTGGAATATGCTAGAAGATTTTTTGCAAGTTTTATCAAAAACATACTACTTGTAAAAGAAGAAAAATCCAAAACCACCCCTTCATATGAAAAATAAAACTTTATTCCTACCATTTTGGAACAGTCCTGTCATCTTTGTAACTAAAAACAACTGAAGTGTGTTGTTTTTAATTTACAGTGGTTTAGAATCTGCTCTGTTTTTATAAAGAAGGAATAAAGGCAAGAAGCCAGTGCACCAAGTGCGGGGTTGCAATGATATGACCAACAGATGGCAGCGATCACCTCCCCTTTGTGCCATCAACTGGAACCTTCTGTAAGATAGAAGCAAAAAAACGATATTTAGATTAAATCCAATCGATTGTTTTACTTTTGCGAATACTATCACACTGTCAAGTCTTACTTGTTTATCAGCATTTTAGCAACACCAGTGCCTTTCCTGTTCAAATGTGTTAAATTGTCCAAAAATGAGATTATAAATAGTCAGGTTTTAGTGAAAATGCATGTGATTAGGAAGTGAGATTTGTATCTTACTGTTTTGATCTAGTTTTGGTATGTTTACACATGGCCCACTATTTTATCACATTTCATCAAGACTTTTCTAATTCTCATTTCATAAAGTTTTATATAGAATTCAAGGTAAGACATGATCAGTTATTGAAGAAAAAAAAGGTAATTTCTAGGGTGAAGAACTAAGAACAAATGGATAATGTGTTTTTGCAAAAAGACGTGCAAAGGTATTAACAGACGTGATAACAGTAGTAACATTTGTATAGCTTCTCACACACAATCTGATGGTCGTCTTTCAACCAGAAGGTCGTGGGTTCGATCCCAGCCCCTTCAGTCACATGTTGTGGATGTATCCTTTGGCAAGATACTTAACTCTGAGTGGCTCCCGGTGGCATGGTCAACAATATCTGAATGTGTGTGAGTTTTAGCTTCCTTGAGCAACTGGCACCTTGCTCTGTATGAAAAGACTGTGAGCGGGTGAATGATGACTTGTAAATGTAAAGTGCTTTGAAGGGTCGTAAAGACTGGATGAAGCGCTGTATAAGGACAGTCCATTACGATTTACAATTTCATCAAGACTTTTCTTATCTTTTTTAAATCCACAGTTTACAAAGTTCTCTTCTAGAATTCAAGGTAACACATGATGATGTATTGAATACAAAAAGTTAATTTCTAGGGTGAAGTACTCCTTTAAGAGCCAGCATTTTAGACCAATGAATACAATTGTTTATTTTTCTTAAATGACATGCAAATGTATGTGACATATTAGATTATCAAAGCTACTCTCACACTAGCTATTGACAGATCTGATGAGCACAGTGAGACTCAGCCGTGGTCTTCTTCTGTATCTCTAAATCTCGTCTGCAACCATAACAGCGTGCGCCATATCGTACTCCAGTCACATTATGTAACATTTTAAATGTATTCTAGGGCATTTTCAACCTACATGTTGACTGGAGATCGTGAAAAGATGAATGATCCCGCCCAGATGAACCAGGGATGTACTGTATATCTTATTAAAAACAATGGTGCACAGTGTAGTGATGCATCGCTCACACGTTTGGTAACAATAAGAGCACTGGTGTAAAAAACAGAGGAACACATATTTGGTTGCTTGCCAAATTACTTCACTCAACACCTGAGCTAACATCATCAACGCAAACACAACTTGTGTAAACACACACACACCCACACACACCGATAATTGACACCGATACACCAAGTAAACCAGTTTAAAGTAACGATTTTGATATTACTCAGCAACAAAGACACGACTTAATGAATCTTGCCCTGCTAATCTCTCTATTGTTATTCTGCCTTTCCTGACCCGTCTGCCACAAGCTATTTATACAAATACTCACAGCAGGTTTTCTGTGCTTTTCAAGCTCACTGAGGGATTCATTGCTTCCCTAAAAGTGATGACACATACGTTTCAGAATACCAGAGATGCAGGTATTTAAGGCAGTTGACTGCAGTAGTGGGGGGGAGGGTCCCTTGTCAGCAGCTAGACCTGTTGTATTGCTCCACAGGACCATTCAAAGAAGCAGATGGGGTTTTAGTATCGTCCGTTTGCATTGCTTTACAGTAAGGCGCCTACTTACTTACTGATAAGGTGTCTATGGAGTTAAGCTTGCATAATGAATGACGTTATTTAAAAAAAAAAATAGTTGTCATATTCTATTCCTTATAATCTTAAAATGTCTATTTATTTGAAGTAATTTTTCTGTTGTTTTGTTCGCTTGTTATTTTGTCTAGTATCCTGATTTGGATTGTCTCTCAAAGCACTTTCTAAACTGTGTGTTGAAAGTGCTATATATAAATCAAGTTATATTAACAGTAACCCAACTTTATTTAGATGTTTTTATGACATCATGATGTGGAAGACAAATCAATTACACAGGAATAGCAAACAACACATAAAGACAATATAAAAAACATAAAACATGTAATTCAATTATAAAATAAACACCAGATAATAATAATGTTACAAAAATGCTGAAATTATTATTATTTATTTTCTGTTACTTCACAACACAAGATGTAATTAAACTACACCATTTCTGGTACATTTATTGAAATCGTGGCGACAGCAGCAAAAAACAAAAGTGTATTTGTTTTACAATTTACTTCTACGTATTGATTTGCGTTGGCCGTTGGATGGCTTAACCCAATTCCTCTCATCACCTGTGCGTCATTCCTGTTTGCTCACTTTGTCAATGGGTGTATCCCTGCCTCATGCGCACACCTTACCTGTTAGTGTCTTCTTGGTAAAGGGCATTTGCAGAATTACGTTCCTTTTGTGAGGTACAGCAGCCTAATGTATGGACTGGACAGATGACCTGACTGATGACAGAAACCAGAAAAGAGAAATAATGTTGACTCAACATTAGAGAGACTTCCATCTTGTGAGAGAAGAAGTCAATCTTGATTTAATTTCTTCAAAATAAAGGGCCCATCGGATTTCTAACATGGACCACCTGCTTTGATTTTCTAAAAAAGACAAGTATTTAGTGAATTTTGGAGTCTTCACCTAAGGCAGGTAAGCAAATAAAACAGCTGACTCTTCATTTATATTAACCCTTATGCTGTGTCCGGTCTCCCGTGACCCGTTTCAAGTTAAAATTATATAATAACTACGCTCTAGTTTTTTTTATCAGAACAAGGCTTCATGATATCCTCCACAACAGCTATATAAACACCACAAAACTGATTTTGACCATTTTAGCCAAGTCTGAAGGTCTCTAAAAAAAAAAGTGTATCATTTGGTGTTCGGGTCAGGGGAGACCCAGCAGAATTGTTTTGGGTGACTCGGGGTCAAATTTGGCCCAATCAAGATTCATCTTTGACTTTAGACATTTCACATGACATGTCATTTTGGAGATAGTTTTTTCAACTTTCAATAGCCTTTATTTATTTTTCTGTCCATGTACAACTCTGGGCTTCAATGTTTCATGAACTTAGGACTTAGTGTTCTTTTTATAAGGTCCATACTTGTACTTAGGGTTTCTACTTGAACATGTTTACACGTTTTAATGTTGAAAAAAACCGAATTGTTTATTAAATACTATGACCAAGTATACCTGTATTCACCCTCTGACCTAAAAGGATTGATTTTGGCAACTTGTATCCTAAAGCAAAGTCAAAAGCAAAAATGAATTCATCAGTGGGTGGAAATTCTCAGATAGGAGGCAAATATTTTAGTGACATGGGAAGGGGAGCCATATCTTAATGTCTTATAAAACGCCATGTTTTCTCACAACAGACATGACAAAAAAAAAAACGAACTTAGTTGTCTTAACTCACAGTCTGTCTCCAGATACCCAATTGTTTGTGCACAAGCCCACAAGTCCTTTCAATGTATTTTGATTCTAAAAAACATGTACACAAATGTATTATTTGTCCACTCGAACATTCTTTTTATATCTTTGCAGTTAAATGGCAAGGTGCTTCTGTCGCTGGCGCAGAGTGTTGATCTGTGTGTGCACACCATTAATCTCCCTGGCACTGCTGCTATTCCTCATCATGGTCATGTTGTGCACGGCCATGCAGTCAGGTATCCCAAATCCTCACTTTGTTGCCCCGGGATATCTTAAGAATGAAAGCCTCGCCCCATTCCCCAAAACGTTCTGGGTTACCAGCCTGCATGGTCAAGCCATATGGAACCGCCTCCAGCTGACCAACGATCGTCGTTTCAACCCCATCCTCCACCCCAAAAAACTCACAAGGCGATTTGAAAATGGTAACTTTGAGGCCATACTGAAGAATGTTTACTCTGAAGTTACTGACTCAAACACAAACTATGACAAGCTACCACAGCAGATACAAGATTTTGTGAGCCATATGCAAAGGAGAGACTACCCTTTGCTCCTCCAGCCAGATGGAGTATGTGGAGCCGGGGCACAGGATGAGAAGGAGCCCCCTCTTCTTCTTCTGGCCATTAAGTCAACAGAACTGAATTTTAAGAACCGACATGTCATTCGACAGACATGGGGCCAGGGAGGATGGGTAGCTGGACGGAAGAGAAACAGCAATGGTGGAGGGTACGTCCGCAGGGTCTTTTTGCTGGGCAAGGAAAATACTGAGGAGTTGGGTGTGGATCTATCTGAGATACTGCAGATGGAGAGTAAACTTCATGGAGACATTCTGCAGTGGGACTTTAGTGACACATTTTTCAACCTCACCTTGAAAGATGTGCTGTTCTGGAGCTGGTTCTCAAGCTCGTGCGGCCAGACTAGCTTTGTGTTTAAAGGCGACGACGATGTCTTTGTCAACACCCCAAATATGTTGAGCTACCTAAAAGGTGAGCTAAAGAAGCCACAAGCACACGAGTCAATGAAAGACTTTATGGTTGGCGATGTCATAATTAGAGCTTTACCCAACCGAGTCAAGAAGTCTAAGTACTATGTCCCAGAAAGCTTCTACAAGGGCCAGTATCCTTTGTACGCAGGTGGTGGAGGGGTGGTGTACTCAGGCCTATTGGCCAAACGCCTACACGATGTGTCTAAAAGGGTCCACCTGTTCCCCATTGATGACGTTTATGTGGGAATGTGTATGGCTAGGCTAAATGCTGGTCCGGTCCACCACCCTGCCTTCCTTACTTTTGATTTTACCGGAAACGATGAAGACCAACTGTGTTCGTATCATGGAATCCTGTTGGTCCACAGACGTCTCCCCAACCAAGTATTAAAACTGTGGGCCAACATGAAAAACACAGAGGCACAGTGTTGGGGTGTGCCCCTGAGAGGAGGGACAAGAAGAAACACAACACTGTAAGCAAACCCCAAGTTACTTTAAAGATTCACTAAAGTTGTTGTTCAGCTGTCAGTCATAAAGAGGTGACACTGTATTACGCTGCATTTATTGTCTGCAGGCATCCATGTTCTGGGGTTATATTTAATTATCTTAAACACTGTGAAAATCCTGGGGTCCATCAACATACCAACAGACTGACCAAAAATACATAATTATTGTTTGAACATTCATTTCAGATAAGAAATATAATATGAAATACAAATTATTAATATTCTTATTATATACAAATAATTGATTTTAACTAGAGAATGTAAAGCATTACCATTCACATTATGTATTTTTTAAAGTTTAGCCAAAGTATGCACATGGGAGAAGTTAGCCTTTCTGTCAAAAGGGTTTAGGCAACAACACGATTTGGTCGAATATAAATAATCAAAACCAATAAATATCATGGTTTGGGTTAAATTAGACCCTTTCTGGCAGAATGCACTGATGGCTAACTTCTGCCATTAGCTCACCGTAAGCTAGTGGTCATATAAGACAATGTGAGGTTGAAGTAACAAAACATTCAAGTGAGCAATAACGTTTTTGTGTCCTGTGAATTCATATTTCTGGTAAGCAGAACAATATGTTATTTCCTCAAAAATGTACATACAGTAGTCTTGTTTTAAGGGCTAGTAAAATATCATATGACCTCTATTTATCTAACATATGGCCCTTGCAATTTTTGTCTCCATCTGTTCTTGTAAAGTAAAGTTATTCTAATTGTTTTTATATATATATATGTCTTGTCATACATTGTTGTACTTTCACTATTTATCTGTAATGATCCCTCCTTTGTTTTGCTATGTATCATCTTTATTTTATCTTATTCATGTACAAAAAGTATGCTCAATGTAACTATGTCAATTAAACCACTGTTGGGTTCATTTGAGTTAGAAGTGGTTTAGCCAGATCTGCAGAACGTGTATGTCATCTGAACTGAATGTGCAGCTGGTGCAGCTCCTTTAGCTCCCCTTTTTTATAAGATTTATAAGTGAAATGTCTGGCTCCATTCCAGTTACGCTTCGTAGAACGAGAACTGTCAAGCCAATGTGATGTATGACTAAAATACATTCTTGTTTATTCCTTTATTTCCTGTTCTTTCTTATCCCAATAAATATTAAATTCACCCAGTAGACTTATTTTCTTTCTGTTTAGCTAACGTTTGCTAACATTATCTACATTAGCCAAAGTTTGCTAACATTAGCAAACCAGCGCTATAACAAGTAATTGTGTAGTACAAACAATTGTAAAAGTGACGTGCTGATATGAGAGCAAAACGTAGAAACTATATATAATATATATATTGTCGAGATATTTCCAGTGGTATGAATTCATATACATTGACTTTGGTATTGTAATTGGGTTAAAATGTGGGACTATCAAGTAACAGTCTGAATAAGGGACTTAAAATATTAAAAGATTATTTAGGATCGAAGTTCTTCATCCACATCATGTTATTTCACAAGTGTCCTTATAATGCAAAATGTAGCAACAGTTTAAGTTAAGCACTCAGCACCTGTCTGCATTTAAAGCATGTTGACTTACACCTAGTGAGCATCCTGCATCAGAAAGAACGTCCTGTAAGACTGGTTTCACTGGAATTTCAATCATGCTTTTTTTTTTTACTTCCAAGTATTGTGAGCTCATTTGAGTGGAATTTACACATGTATACATATAGTAATTTTGGACGTGAATTTTCATGCTTCAGGGGAAATGTTTCAAGAAGAGATAACATTCTTTACAAAGAGAAGATCTATTTCAAAACGTTCATTATTACACAAACCAAAATCAGAGAACGGGTAAGGAATGTCAGATGATGCACAAAGCGATCACAATGGCAGCTTATTAAGTACAACAGCTTGAGGTCAACTCAAATTAATACAAAGAGCGGCAAAAGTCCAAACAATGGCCTCCTGAGGAACAGCAAAACTGTAAGGGTGTTACACCTCACACCCAACTCCTAAACTAACAGAATAACCATGTAAGTGCTCCGTCATTAGTGAGGAGGTTTTGAGTATTTCATTGTTGTGAGTGTCTAACGGTATGAATCTATGAACAGTTCACATCTACATTATCCTGCATAGGAACGTTATGACCCGTTATATTGGTGATCAAGTAAAGGCTGCACTAGAGGTCCTTTTCAGTAAGACACTGAAAGTACAGTAGAAAGTGATGATGAAGTAATACAGCATTCTTTTTCAATTTCAGGTCAAGTTTGATATTGCATATTTCCAATTTTTCTTAAGCATATAACATGTTGAATCGGCCGGGTGTCGACCGTGAAAGGCCAAATAAGGCGTGTCACGGCCGAGGGTTCGGGACACACCAAATTGACTTTGGGCGACAAGGAACGCGTTGTCGCTAGACAACGCAAGACGGCCGAATACGGCCTGGTGTGTCAGGGCCTTAACAAGCAAAACTTATTTCGTTCCATCAAAAGATCAGTGTGTGGATTTAATTCCCCCATGTATTAAATGTTGGGTTCTTAAACACTTCACAAACCCAGCACAATCTACCGCTTCTTCAGCCATGTGGATTCTTGAACCAAGTTAAGACTGCCACTTCAACACGCAAAAGGCCCAAGTTCGAAAACACAATTCTTAGTTTTAGGTGATTATACACTCTGGAAAACAGTTATGAATATTATAATTATTTTCTGCTCTACATTCTTAACACTGGTCCTTTAAATACAAGTCCGTTCAATGAAGCGTCAACAACAGGCTACCTAGAGCGAGCAGTTGCATGAGGATCGAGGTTTCAGATCATCATCATCACTTAGTCAGCGATATCAGCAGGGTGCTGACTCATGATTTATTTTACAGCTCTCCTGATTGTCCGTGTCCTCCTCATCTCTGCCACTACGAACCATTTTCTGTCCTTTTCTCTTTGCCATCTTCTTCTTCCTCATCACTGTCCTCCTCCTCGCTCTCAATGTACTGGTAGTTATTGCGGTTGGTGTTTACAAAAAGGTCGCTCTCGTCATCCTCAGAGTCACTAAAGTCTTCTTCGTCTTTATCCCCCGTGTCCTCTCTCTTTTCCTGCCCTTTTTGAGTCTTTTGCGGCTCCAGTGGCTCCTCTGTGAACCCCTGCGGCCTGAAGGGAGTAAAGGAAACACAAAACAACTCAGTTACTCTTGACAAACTGTGTGTGTGTGTGTGTGTGTGTGTGTGTGGTGTGTGTGTGTGTGTGTGTGTGTGGTGTGTGTGTGTGTGTGTGTGTGTGTGTGTGTGTGTGTGTGTGTGTGTGTGTGTGTGTGTGTGTGTGTGTGTGTGTGTGTGTGTGTGTGTGTGTGTGTGGTGTGTGTGTGTGTGTGTGTGTGTGTGTGTGTGTGTGTGTGTGTGTGTGTGTGTGTGTGTGTGTGTGTGTGTGTGTGTGGTTGTTTTCCCACTTACCAGAGCTGCTGTTTCTGCAGGTTCTGAATGTGATCTTTGTAGAGAATGAAGCTGATCTCTGCCTTCACCTTCTCTCCTTCCTCAATGGGATCCACGATCACATAGTCACCTTGGGGATTAGAAAGCAGACATATATGAAATATGAACCAAAAAATAAATCTCATTAAAAATAGAATGAAAGAGATTTTTCTTTGAGCCCGTACTCACTAATTCCTACCCACGCTAGTGACTGATATTGCACATTTAGTTTGGATTTTATATCTATTCTCTTGTAAAAGCCCTAATTACAAAACAGCATTTTTTTTAAAAGCCACAGACAAGCTAAATATTGAGTCAACACAGGTAAAGACATTGTGTTAGCATATGTAAGCATTATACATTTTCAAAAACTCTGATAGTATATGAAAATATATACCGCAGGGGGTTCTCTAGAAAAATAAAGTATAGATGAGAGCAACGCTAACGTCACTTCCGGGCGAAATTAAGGCCCCATGTCACTTCCAGGCGAAATTAAGGCCCCATGTCTTAAAGCTGACGAGTTATATATTGCACCTCAAACGACACAAATCCCAAGTTACGGTTTCTTTACTACCTCTACAGAAAAAAAAAGACATTAAAAGAAATGATATAATTCAGAAATCCCAGTTTAAGTGTTAGCCCAGTTTAGACAAAACCCTGTATACCCATTGTTTAGCTACAATACAGGATCAAAACTTTACAAATCCTTATGATATTGCAGGATTTTGAAATAGATCTATGAATTGCTATTAGCAATATCGAGCAGTTACTTTATGAGTGGATCACATCACAACAGCTTTTTGAGCTTTTTTGATGACTGAGCTCTGTAATGATCTATATTTTCAATCTAAACATCCATCACTTACCTTAGTCTAATATAGCTAAGAAACCGTTTTTATTGGGTCAACAGTTGACAGTAAAAATATATAGTAAAGCTAGGGTATAATACTAGAGTATTGCGTTTATGTCCTAATTTTTCAGTGTTCATAGTGCAAGCTCATTTTGATTTTGTTCAGAACCTAACATTACACTCAACTCATTTGGTTATTGCTGTAACTTTAATCATGAAATACACGTCACAATGTGTGTTGAGTTTGTTATTAGCAGTTGATTGGTGTAGATGTTATGGCACCCTTGCTGTAGTATCGTAAGTAAGGGTGCCTGTGAGACACATACATTCTCTTCTGTGTCTTTTGCTCAAGTGTTTGTGAACCCCGGACTTACCTCTCTTGATCCAGAGGTTCTTGCGGAACTTGGGGGGCATGCTCACCAGGAACGTCACGCCCTGCGCCGTGACAGCTTCATGGAGGTTGTTACCACGGCTACCAGTAACCTACACGTGGCAAAGGAGGGAGACAGAGTGAGGATAGGGTCTTGCATCGATGAGGGTGGTTATTTACAGTCAGTGCGTTAAATACAAAGCAGTCTTCACACAGTTCACCTTTACTATCTGCTGGTTCTCTGTGGGAATGACAAAGTCTCCAAGAACTTCCTTCACAACATGCTTGCGTTTGGTGGCCTGTGACATTATCAAAGGTGAGCTTCAGGTTCCTCCACCAGCTGAGAAAAGAGAGTTTAAAGTAATGGGTAGCATTAATTCATCATTATGATATATTATTTATTATAAGTTAAGCAACCCAGTAGTATATAAAGTAATTCAAATAAACCCAACGTTTACCACTTTTCACTAAGTGCATCATTGGAAGTTATATCATTTAGAAATAATCATAATTCAAACATGTGTAATATGTGGTGCTTAATTGGGCCATTCTGCATAATGAGTACTTTTACATTTGGTACTGAAAGTATATTTTGATGGTAGTACTTTTTTACTTTTACTTAAACAATTGTAAAAAGCAGTAGGCCTACACTGAAGTATTGCTACTTCTACTAAAGTAAATCGTCTGAGAACTTCTTCCACCTCAGGTTAAGTAGACAAACTATAACAGGAGGTTTGACTAACAGCAATATAAAAAATGAAAACTGACAAGGTAACATGAAAACAAGCTAAGCAAACACAAACTAGACACCGGTTAGCTTGGCAGCTGTTAACCGCTGCGATTTCAATGATGGACAAATAACAACACTTCATATTCCCTAAATCTTTTGTGCTAGCTGCTAAGCGTAACGTAAGAAAAAAGCTGTTTTCCTACTCTACTAATAACAGAACTAGTGCCTTATGAGAGTAAGCTAACATTAGCTATCTCAAAACATAGCTCAGGTTCAACAGCGATAGCAGGTTACATAAATACCTTGAAAGAAAGAAAAGAGTAATTGTGCCTCTGTAAGGAAGGCAGTGTTTAAAGGCAGCTCGACAGCAGCTGGGATTCACGAAGAGATGAATTTATCTGTAACTTAAAGCCGAGCCACATGCGTTTCTGTTTTCTTGCTTCACTGAATGTTACACTTCCGGTGTCAAGCTCTCCCCTTTCAAAATAAAGGTATGCAATTAGAATTACACTTGGACTTTCAGATAAAAGCCAATCAATAAAAAAAATACATTCATTTGTTATTACCTTTCTGACTAATAGTAACTAATAAGGTCAGATAATTGTTCAAAAAAGATGGGGGATATTTTTCTTCCATTGCAGTGCTTTTGCATTGTGGGAAATAGAGTTTTTTTCCTTTTCTCAGTTTGTGGAACATTCAAGATCAATAGCATTCAGGTTACCAACTGTTCTCACACAATTCCCAAGGTAAAAATGTTTCTTTGTGAATGTCAAATGTTATCTATTTTGTACTTACATTGGCCAAATCCTTGTTAAATACAGAAGAAATCCACAAACACACGTATTCAACACAATCTTAGTGGATGTTTATATAATTTTCTCTACGAAAATGTGATCTTTGCAGTTTATGAATAAGGTTAATTATACAGTTGAATTCAATCACAGTTAAATGTGATGTTGTATTCGTTTGCATTATCAATTGATTCAAATGAAATGTGTGGTTCAAGTGCATATAGGGGAAAAAAACTGTACACAAAGAATTGGATTCCACACTTTTTTATTCAACCTCCATTCAAGTGTGACTGTCTTACAGCAGTTTTTACAATTTCATTGCAGTTACGATCGGAGCATATGTGCATATGGTAAAACTCCCATCTTTCAAAACTCCAGTACTAAATAGCATTAGCATGAACACTGTTAAAAACATCAAAGAAAACCCCCAAGACAGAATACTAACTACAATATTGCACGCTCTTCATCAAACTAGAAATCAGTTACTGTGAGGAAAATTGAGTTAAAAACCAAAACTGCATACAACACAGCAACCACTATGACCTGCAGGGCAAACGGAATAAAATCTGCACAAATACTTTACTTTAAAATAAGGATCAAAGTCCTAAGAAAAGCTAGCTTTATTAGAGCTGGTATACTTTTAGTAAACTGACACGAGGTGTGAGGTATGAGGTATGAGGTATGAAGATGTGAGTTTGGTTTAACGGAAAAATAACATCAGTAGGACTTTACGCGCGTGTGTGTGTGTGTGTGTGTGTGGCATTACTATACTTGTGGGGACCTACATCTGTTTACCCAGTCACGTGTGGGGACTCGCCTCCCTTATGGGGACAAAATGGAGGTCCCCATGAGGGGAATCATTAATTTTAGGGTGAAGACTTGGTTAGGGTAAGGGTAAGGGTAAGGGTTAGGGTTAGGGTTAGGGTTAGGGTTAGGGTTAGGCATGTGTTGGTTATGGTTAAGGTTAGGATAAGTCTCCAGGAAATGCATGCAAGTCAATGTAATGTCCCCTGAAGTGATGTATACATGGTGTGTGTGTGTGTGGTTGTAATCATCATGTGTTTTTGATCAATTGTGTGTGAGTGTGTGTATATTGGGTGTTGGTGGTTTAGTTGACGACAGCAGATGAGCACATCTTGTTGATCCCACACGCATTGGACCCCCTGTAGAGGTAGTAGTAACCCTGTGTGAGAAAAGAGAGAGAGAAACAAATACACATGTAAAAAAACCCTCATTAGTTTTGTACAGCATCCCAAATCAAGAAATTCTGCCGATCATTTAATTAAAAAAATCAGAATTTGGTTTCCAATTGCTATATTTCCAAAAATAATAAATACATATTTTTTTCACTCTGTCTCTAATCAACAAAGACTGTAAGAAGGTGAGGTTGTCTTACCTGCTCTCCATAATCCTCTCCCCAGCTGTTTTTGATGGCCCAGAATGGGATATTTTTACCTGAAAGCACAGAAACTTTATTACACCAGTAGTAAGTGGGTATATGAGGAAAAAAACGGAACAAAAACTCTTACGTTCTCCGTATCCCACCATCAGCACAGCGTGGTCGATCATCCAGGAGTTGCAGAAGATCTTCATAGGGTGAGACACACCCTTCTTGTAGAACTGCGGGAATGTAAAAGACAAAATGTGGTTGCATGTCGACGATCACATAAGGTGCAATTTGACATGATGTTATCTTTTGATGTATCATGTAGATAGAGGTGATGGCAGTGGTGGACAGAACTGCTTACCTGCATGGCGAAGGCATTCAGTGCAACAGAGACGGGTCCATTCTCAGCCAGCCAAGCTGCAATGTCTGTCAAAATATAATAAACACGTAGTCCATTGAATAGCTCTTTGTTACCTATTGTTACACAGCAAACTGATCAAGTAACAATAAATAAACCTGCAAAATCAACACCTACTCATTTCCACTTCCACTTATTTCAGTCATATTTTCATTTGACCTTTATCAATGCTTTGACCTAAGATACAAAATGAAAATGTCAGTAATTCTGATAATTAAGTACTTAGGGTTAGGTACTTAAACATTTAGAAAGTGAAATAAACATGTGACAGGTAGAGTGTATTTAATGTTTTATATAGATCTACTCTACAACTAGAGCAAACTCTTTCCCATATCATGTCTACTTCTAGTTTTTTTATTTTGCTTTGAAAAGATTTGATCCAAAATAAATGTTCTGAAATTTAGGTTCAGATTACTTCTCGACTGAGCTTTGAATATAACTATTTAAGCCAACTAAATAGTATTTATTATAGGTTGGAAGTTTTCATCCAGAACCCTCAACATAATTGTTTTGCCGTTTTCAGATCAATCGTTTTTAGGATATTCAAATATAAAATGATTCTTTTCTGAAGCCACAGACTGTATGTCGTTATTCCCTCTCTACAGGCTCAGCCCACTCACCCTTCTCGTCCTTGGACAGCTCCACAGAGCTGTTGATGTAGGCGGCCACCTTCATGCTGGTGAAGTCACAGCTCTGCTTCTTGCCGGTGTAGGAGTAGTCTGTTTCTGTCTCCAGGCCACCTAAACAACACATGCAGGGTAACAAAGTGAAAAGCTTGCACACAGTATTAGCATTAATCACAAGAACACTTCTGCAGGGTGTTTAGATTAGCCGTGGGATGATGAAAACCTTTAATGTCCTGATTATTCTGACAATGAGAGTTGTGATTCACAATATCATTATTTATTCAAATGAGTGTCTTCTAAAAATGACATTAAAGTGGACCTATCATGCTATATTTGAATAATATAGTGTAGGACCATACCTATATAAGGCATATTTATACTTTTTTTTTTTCAAAATACCAAACAGATCATGCATTTTAGCCATGCCTCATTTTGCTCAATTTGACCATTTCTAGCTCTGTTTTAGCAAGGGCTGATTCTGTGAGAACAGCACCATCTACTGGCCTGGCATATGTACTACAGCGTCTCCAGCGCTTTCGAACGGCAATGGCCGTGGCTGTCTCCTCCTGATTGGTGGAGTTGGTCCAATAGCCGTAGCGCCACCGTCCTGACGTCAGGACAGTGTTCAAATCTGGATCAGTTTTTATCAGATCCGTTGCAGCCCCTTTTTTAGAGATTTGGGTATGGAGGAAAATAGAGAGGGTTGTGTTTTCTGACACTTGGTGAGTTCCCTGGAACACCGGGGACACATATTCATGTATAAAAGACGTACAAAAGTGCATTTTGCATGATAGGTCCCCTTTAAACAACGTAAAATTAAGATCCATTTCAGTGTAAAACAAACAATCTTAAATATATATTTTCTGTTTTTCACCTTCACTACAGTGATAGTTTATAGCTTAGACTAAAACTATTAATGGAAATATATAAAGATATCAGGGTTTTTTCTAGAAAAATACAGTATGACGGCAATATTGTGGCGCTGATCTTGTATATATATATATATAAATTATAGATATATCAATTATCGCGAGAACATGACGCCCGTCTACAAGATGGCGCCGCAGACGTAAACAACAACAGGATGTTGGAGGTCCATAAAAACAAAGCTGTCTATGCCGTCTGACGGTCTGTTTGACACGATTTTCCTATTTCTGGAGTAATTGTATTGTTTTTGACGAACAGAAATATGGTTAGTAAAAGTAAAAGTATTGGGTATTTGAAGCTTAAATATTTCATCTCAAGTCTTTCTTACCCAGCTTCTCTATAGCTTCGTAAGCGTTGGACGGCAGCCCTCCTTTGCACGCCTGGTCCAGCCCATCACAGTCAACCAGCTCTGAGAAGGACAACCAAATAAACCAATCAAAACATGACCTATATCTCGTAATATAAAGAAAGAGGTTTTTTTGAGAAGGAGCAAAATATAAAATGATTGTATTGTTTGTGTCTGTTTGGGACTGTGCACGTGTGTGTGTGTGTGTGTGTGTGGTGTGTGTGTGTGTGTGTGTGTGTGTGTGTGTGTGGTGTGTGTGTGTGTGTGTGTGTGTGTGTGTGTGTGTGTGTGTGTGTGTGTGTGTGTGTGTGTGTGTTACCTTGTTCAGAGAGGGACAGCAGCGTTCCATTTTTCAGGAACCACTGGCCTTCGATGTTGCCTGTCACAGAAAATGCCCAGCAGGATCCACACATACCCTGCGACACAAACAAACAGAAACACACACTCCAATCAGCAGGAAGTGGGCAGGAGGTGTAATGTATTCATGTTCCCCTGTTAATTAGGGTGACTCACCTATAATTCAACCTACCTGGTTCTTGATGGAACTGACAGCCCCGTGATCCCGCCAATCCCAGCTGGCAGGGGCGGGACCTCGGGCAGGAGGAGCCGGTTTCATTAGTCGGTGAAGATTCCCTTGACTCAGCAGCGGGTTCAAGTATGCAGACTGGAACTCTTCCTCTGGAGGAAAACAGAAGAAGAGCAGACACACTTTAGTGTTACTCAAGAGGATATCTTGGTGGAGAAGCTGATACAACACAAGAAAAGCAGAAGGGGCCTTTCCTCACTGGAAACTGTGTTGAAATACAAGTATACAAGTGTACACACACACACACACACACACACACACACACACACACACACACACACACACACACACACACACACACACACACACACACACCACACACACACACACACACACACACACACACACACACACACACACACACACACACACACACACACACACACACACACACACACACACACACACACACACACACACACACACACACACACACACGTACCAGTCAGGTCGCTGAACTTGGTGACTCCATACTCGGCTGAGCCTTGATCTAAAGTCTGCAGCTTCTCAGCGGTCTTCAGGTTCTCGTGGAAGACAAACAGACGATAATCTGCCTCTGCAGGATCATAGGTGAAATCAAGACACATTTTTAAAGGGATTCGAAGACATTCAAAGACTTTATTACGCAGAACAGCTCTTGGCAATACAAATCTTAAGTGTCAGTCTCCTCCAACAATGAAACATCGGTATGATTGAAAGATTTGGCCTTTAACAGTCAAACACTCCGGCCTGGTTATTTATATGGTACATGTTATGTGACAGGTGTAAACACCCTGGGGTTTTGACAGGACACACAATTCTGGATGCAAAGCAACACATCAAATATCCTGTGACCCTCTCTTTTAGTAATTTTTTGAATGTGTTGGAGTCCTTTTAACTCCATTATAATAAATACATGTGTATACCAATAAACAAGAAATCCACAAAGATGTTTAAGATGAAATCCAAGGTATAGAGTGGTGAAGTCCCTCCCCTTCTGGTGGACCTCCATGGGACCTTATTTCGGAAAAAGTATGTATTGAAGTCAATGGAGAGAGAAAGATTATCTTTCGATCCCGTTTGAATTGTGCCACGAATTACACATATGATGTTTGTCAATTTAAAAAATCATTTCCATGTCAAAAAAGTCTTATATTTCAACAGTTTTACGACAAACTGTGACTTTTTTGACATGGAAATGATTTTTTAAGATTGACAAACATCATATGTGTAATTCATGGCACAATTCAAACGGGATCGAAAGATAAGTTTTCTCTCTCCATTGACTTCAATACATTATTTTTCCGAAATAAGGTCCCATGGGTCGGAAGTAGATGGGCGTGACTTCGCCACTCTATAACTTCAGCCTTATATGTCTATTTTCCAACAACCAGTTAGTCCTTATTTCATCTTTAATAGTTTTTTTATTATGTGCCACAGATTGAGATATAAACACCTCCTTTGTCCACGTCATTTTGAAATGTCTTATTTGGGATTTGTTGGTGAGATGCTTATAAGCCATTGGTACACAGGATGTATTTATTCCACAGGCGCTGAATGGATGTGGGATATTAAGCCTTATGTTTAGTCTTTCATACTGGGGTTTTTATTGCTTCAAAGACTCAAAGGTTTTGTTTGTCATATGCACAAAGGCAACAGCATAGTTGTTGGCAATCTAAATCTAAAGTCCTGTTATATTTATTGTATAAGTGATATTATATGTTGGTCTTTGTCAACAGTTTTCATGTCTCTCTGTAATTTAAAAGCATCTGTGATTACAGTTAGAAAGCTAATGATGTTTTGCTTTGTACATTATCTGTGTAGTCTTTCTACGAGTGGGCTGTGAGCACACAAAGGCGGCAGGTTGTGTAAACAGGAAGGAATATGCACATTGCAATGTTTGTGGTGTATAATACATTAGTGTCAGTCCCTCACCCTCCTGGCTGCTGTAGTCCTTGTTGTATTTGACCATGAACTCTTTGAACTGGCCCAACAGCTCCACAGAGTCCTAGCAGATAAAGAGCAGACAAACAAACACACAGAATAAACAACACACCTTTTACCTCATCTCAAATTCAGTGAATGGACCACTTGAGTATAAAAGACACTAAAGATTAATTAAAAAAATGACATTTAGACATCACTATGAAACTTCCTCAATGTATTACTTTTGTAAAGACAGTTATATTTTGTATTATACGTTTTTTTAAGCGTTATTTTTAGATATAAAGGAATTATTATTAAATATGTGCTAATTTGCTTACATTTCCATAATAGAAATATGAATATCGGATAAAGCCAGGATGAACATTTTTGTTTATTTAGTCGACATATTACAGTAAAATGTTGTGAGGAGGGCATTCAAGAAATGTTGTATAATTGTATCAGAAAATACTATCAACGGTCTTTAAACAAATCCATTTTCAGTATGTTTTAGAAACTAAATGTTCTTTAAATCAGACTATAAAGGATTTAGATCTAATTCCTCTGTAAACTTTTTACCTCCAGAGGCTGGCTGGTTGATGCATCGACGATGTTGTTTGTCTCTTCTTGTTGAACTTCAACTGATGAGAAAGACATCAGGACATGTTATGAGTCAGTATGCAGAACATCTTAATTAATGTGTCAATGTGTATTCTTCATTAGATTATTTCTATTTTTTGTAATCATTTTCTTGAAATGTATATAAAATATGCACTTGACCTGATAACTATGTAATAAAACCCATGAATGTAATGACTTAATGAATATTGTATAGATAATGTTCTGATTTATAATGTAGTAACATTTCAGGTAGCAGATGTTGACATATTTTGAAGGATAATATAATATTTTTAAAATAATTTTGTTAAATTCCTTATATTGTCAAAAGGTATAAGACTATCGGTAAACATGTTTTGTTACAACATCAGCCAGGACATTGCATTTTTTATAACACTTTTGATTAGGTCAAGTGCAAACATTCATGACATTTTTTAGGAGTTTATAACATTATTGCGGGTCTAAAACACCATTTAAAAGGTTATTTAACCACTTTTTAGAGCCACAGTTACCCTGGAACATACTGCTAATAAAACTTGTGTTGACTGATCAATGTCAAAGGTCAAACTCACCTTTAGGCTGGCACTTCTGCTTGAGCAGAGTGGAAGTGCCCTGCCAGGGAATGTCCCACACTTCAAACAAACACACCTCCGTCTGACATAAACATGAAACGTCACAAGACAGAGATATAAGTGGTTAATTAACATGATAGGTTTTCAAATACAGTGTATATTTGAACTGTTTCGATTATTAAATAAGTAGAATAATCTGTTTAGCACGATGCAGCCTAATCTCCCTTTAGATCATCTGTTTTTGACACCTGTATAAAGGCTGTTTTTAAAAATGGGAATGGATCGTCCCTCTAAAGTAAAAAGGAAACAAAGAAGTGTATGTGTTAGTGCTGTGTATGCATGCCTCTGGCTTGCATACACAGCACTAACACATACACTTCTTTGTTGCATAAAGCATTAGCAAGCTTGGGTTCACTTGAAGTCAAACTCAAGTCACAAGATCATATGACTGGTGACATATCTGCTGATTAAACACTACAAATAAAATACCGCTCTGCAAAATATATGAAAACACAATCAATCAAATAATCAATAAAAAAATACATCATTACGTCTTCTTATATAACCATGACAATGAATAACTTTGTCTTACTTAACACACACACACATACGCACACACACACACACACACACACACACACACACACACACACACACACACACACACACACACACACACACACACACACACACACACACACACACACACACACACACACACACACACACACACACACACACACACACACACCACACACACACACACACACACGCAGACAACCTTGAGTTTCTGTAACTCGGGATAGAAGTCACATGTCCTGAGCATGGTGGATTTCTTGCATTGAGTGTTACTCAGTTCCACTGTGATGGAGTAGCGGATACCCTTGACAAGCTGAAAAGGGGACAAATGCACACAGACAGTGGTCAATTGTAATGTACAAACAGGGAAAAAATACTTCAATAAGAGAATTAATTCAGATATAACTCTAATAGTGGTAACGCCTAGTTTACGAGTGGCTATTCAATATGTGTGTATTTGAATGTCATTTACCAGACACTAGTGATTTTTACTGTTGTTTCTGGATGCTTCCATGCTGTATGGAGAGACTATGGTGGCCCATACTGAACAGTGATATACAAAGGCAGGTTGTACTGCACAAATGGATAAGGCAATTTGGTTGTAGTGTCAAGTCAGGTGTATTTCAAACAAATGACTTCCGGGCATAATGAAAATAATGAGGGGAAAATGCTGCTAGTAACCTTTCTCTGTAGCCTATGCTTTACAGAAAGTGAAAAGATTAAAATAAATCACAAACTCAATGAGAAGTCTGTGAAAGATAAAACTAAAAGCATATTTTATTTTTTATTGTATACCTCTACGTAAGGAACATTTATAAGGCAGACGAGTTTAGGCCATTATTTTGAAGGTAAGTCAGCGTATTTCCGGTCTTTGTTTAGCTAACTCTTGCTAGCGTGACGCAGTTTGAAATGGCCCTATTAGGTGATGTTGTTTACAAAAGATGGAGAACATATAACTCTTACTACAATGTCAAAAATCAGTATACAGACGACCAATAACAATTGCAACAGTTTGTTATGACAAATGATGACGATACAATGCCGTAATTAATTTAACATGTAAATATTGTAACAAATAACCCGTGTGTGCACCTGTTTGGTGGCCGAGAGGAGCCTGCTGACTTTGCGGAGGTGCATGGCGTTGGAGCCCTGGTTGTAGCGCTCCTCCGCGAACTGCAGAGCCTTCTTCAGCCCAGCGTCGGACTCATGCAGCCGGACGGGAGAGCCTGGAGGCCCGATCAGGGGCCGGTCCATGTCCTCACCGAGCCCGAGGACCGAGCCCTGCACGGCGGCCAAGGCCAGCCACAGGATTACCGGACAGCCGAAACCGACCATCATGATGGTTTCGGTGTATTGTCAGAAAAAAAAGTTCAGATTAAAAGATAGATGTGATGTTTTCCTTAGCTGACGAATCAATTTCAAACTCGTAAAAATCAGCAGTGGTTATACAAGAGGTTTAGCGTTGTTGCCAAAGAAAACAGGACTGAGGATGTGGGAGGAGACAGAGTAATAACAGGCGGGGTGTGTTCAAGAGAAGTACACACACGATTTAACAGTGTTGCAAATCCGTAATAACAGATACAGATACAACATTACTTTAACATCAAAAGGACTACAAAACAAATTACCTGGTTATCATATATATTAGTGACATGGTAAAGCAAAAATACATTTTAAACATTTGCTATTTAAATGGTTATATTTGATTTTACCACAAAATGTGAGGCAATCCCTACCTTTTGAAATAAATTCGGACACAATAATAAAGTGTATTCTTTTAAAATCTAGATAACGCACTTAGATATGCATTAAAACATATTTTAGACCACGGTCTCCCTTGAGTCATATTTCAATGTCCTCATGGACACTTTGATTTATAATTGTTCGACTAAATACGAATGACTTTTTTACAATCTCACTGCACAGTATTTTCAAAAGACTATACCTAAACAATATGGCAACATGTAATTATTATTGTTAAGTAACACAGATAATGGTCGTCGCAGCCCATTTCCAATTATAATTTAATACAGCCACCAGAGGGCGACAGAGTACATTATGTCGATGCCTTTTCATGAGGGGACTTTTATTTTGAAAATACGAGACCAGACGAAGGTAAACTCATAAACTAATCTGGCTTTAAAGGATTTATAAGGATTTATAAAGACGTCAGCAAAAGGGTACATTATTTTTCATTTATATGGCAAAATTAGGAAACCTTTATTCAGTTTACATATATGGACTTTTATTCTGGAGGACTCTGTCCGGAAGTGTTGTTGTTGTGTCTCACAGCGGAGCACAGGCGCTAGCGATGCTAGCACCGCAGACAGCAACATTTTTGCTAAGCTAACATTTCAAACTTGAAAAATAGACTGCTAGTTATTCCCGGGGGCATCGTGGGCATAATAACGTTAGCTGACGCTTAAGCCCACCGTGCGACAACATAGCTGCTCTGAACGTAATGACTCATTTATTTTTAGGGATCAGGTTGTATTCTTAGCATTAGCCTCCGAGCAAAGGTCTGACTGGCAGACATGGAGAACCGGGTGATTGAAGACATGTTCGACTTTCGTCGGTAAGTCAGCTAACTGCAGCTAGCTAATGCAAGCTGTTGTTAACCTTCAGCTAACGCTAATTAGCCGCATTAGCACGAATGTTACGGTCGTATCCAGTGTGTTAAAAAAAATACAATAACGTTATCTACAGTGACGTGTAATGTTTGTCCGCTAGCATTAACACACGTTGCGGAAGGCTTCTCAGTCCAAACGAGAGGTTATTTAGTATTTTATTAACTTGAGCCAGCTAGCTATCATAGCTGTGGTATGGTGACGTTAACGTTTTATTGCTAACTTTTGTTATGCAACCTTGTGCAATCATCTCATCTCAGTAAACACGTCGCCCAGACATTCACTGTAGCGTTAAACGCGCTGAGGGAAGCTAGCTTGGCCTTACACGGTGGTTAAAGTTGACTCCGTAAAATGACTCTCTAAGAACAGAGTTAAGTTTCCTGAACTTCTAAAGCGTGCACGGTAGAATGAGCTAATGTTGAACCTCTACATAGAGTACCATGGCCATTACCCGTCACCTCCGATTTGAAAAGTATATTTTGTGCTTTGACAATATATACTACACACCAATACAAGTATCTTTCACATCAATGCAGGTGGGACATGGGGCCTGTAGGTGCACCAGTGCACATTTTTGTGTGGGATTTTAGGCCAGAATAGGACTACTTTGATATAAAACTTCCCGTGTGTTCTCAAGCACCCAACCTTAAAGACAATCAAGTAGCGACACGTGTAATAACGTGTGGGAAATGAACGCTACGTGCTGTAATACAAAATGGAAAATCGAGTTTCAAACAATAATTGATCCAACAGTGAATAATAAACATACTAAATCTGAGAGAAATGCTCAGTCATCATGTAAGACCTATTGTAATTCATGTGGACTGTCAATATTTCATCTGCTATAACATTTAAGTTCAAGTTCTCTCCACTGAATTAAAAAAATGTTTGCAACTTTTCCTTTGACAGGTTTCCCAAAGATGCTGTAGTCCTCCTACTGTTGCTGATTTACTTTCCAGTTGGTATCTGTTTGATGCTAATACGGATTTTTGTTGGTGTTCACGTGTTCTTGGTCAGCTGTGCACTTCCAGAGAGTTTTATTAGAAGGCAAGTATTTAACATTATACAGTGTACATTTCTCTATGGTTCATTTTACCCTCAACAGTCTTAACATTCATAGATGTGGCAGAAGTAGCTGTTGTAGTTACTGTTTGTGTATCATTAAGAGTAATCTTTTTATAATATAGTGTGTATCCATGTCTTGAAATACTAATAATATGAGGAAGTGGGAACAGTTTATGTTTTCATACGCTATATAATGCATACTTTGTAATTGATTTAAATAATTGCGTAATGGCTGCCTCTCAGTTAAAATGACGCTATTAATCACAGCCACCCCATAAAAAACTGTAAAGGCTTAAGTGCTAGTTGCACTATATTTGTTAGTGTTAATAACTCTTACATTTCAGATGGTATTTGGCTTTCAGTCATTTCAATGTTAAGTTAAAGGTAATGATTGTGGGAATGAAGAGCCATAAAGCAGTGATACACCATGTATGTTCTAGATAATTGCCCACTACATATTAAGATAATCATCCCGATTAACTTCAGCTTTATTCCTTTTGTTCTCTTAGATTTATTGTCAGGATTATGTGCTCAGTCCTGGGGATGCACGTGAGAACGAAGAACCCTCGCTCCAGGGACAAAAACACCAAGCTGTACATGTGCAACCATGTGACAGAGTTCGACCACAACATAATCAACCTTCTGACCCCCTGCCATACTGTGAGTGTTTGTCTTTTAAATGTGCTAAAACGTGTCATACAGTTTGGTATAAACCATGTCTCAGTTTCCTGTACAAGTGTGCATCTGTGAGTTTCAGCGCTGATGCAACTTTTGCATTATTTGGGTTTAACCAGTGCTGGTGCTGGTATTGTTTCTGCTGAATGAAATGTTGGTGAGATGCTCTCTTTCTGCGCCTTTAGCCCCAGTTAGAGGGCTCCACCGGCTTTGTGTGCTGGGCCAGAGGCTTCATGGAGATCCATTCAGCATCTGGCCAGGGAGCCATAGGAGACACTCTCCAGAGGTACTGCTCCACTGAGGGCACCCCCCCCGCTGCTCCTGTTCCCCGAAGAGGAGACCACCAACGGCCGCGCTGGCCTGCTGAAGTTCAGGTCAGTGCCATCAGGATCTGCCTAATGTCACTGAGGCGACAGTTGTAATTTCTCTGTGGAAATTGGTTGATGCAATGCGAGCAGAAAGTATGAATAGCTGAACAAATGTAGTGTTGCTACTGCAAGTTCTATCTTTAGCCTTCCTTGTTTAGAAATCAATTCCTCTTGAGTGAAAAAAGCCACATTTTGCTATTTATTTAAAGCATACAACCTCAAAAACTAACACACTAATTATATACACTTTCCCTTCTCAGTTCTTGGCCTTTCTCACTGACTGACTCCATTCAACCTGTGGCCTTACGAGTGACCAGACCGTTGATTGCTTTGGTAATTATATTTGAACTTGCATTTAAGACAGCAACACAGTGAATGGATAAATAAACAAGAAGATCTGAATACCGTTACAAATATATGATTATTTTGAATGTACAGCCTTAACTGTTTGAATCTTACATGCGCTCTAGAGTATGAGTGTTGCACAACAAGTACAAGGAGAAGATATTTCTATGATTGCAAAATGAGTGAACTTTCCTGGAAGGAGCGAGTGGATGAGTGTGTGCTGCTTTAATCTAATCCAGCCATCTCAGTACCGAGAATAATTAAGTTTAGTGTTGATGTGTGCTGCAGATATTTTTAAATAGCTGCAGGATTGTTTGGGGCACCTGGACACTGTGACACAGCTGTGACTTTCCCATTACACTGTAATACATCCATGTGATTTAATTTGTTGTGTTTTGTCTGTTCACAGAGCACGCCTGACTCGAGCTGGATGAAGGAGCTCTTATGGACATTTTTTGCTCCATGTACAGTGTATCATGTAAGGTACTAAATAATTTGTATCATTACTTCTATCAGCAATTGCTTTTTCAAAGTGGAATCCAGATATTGAAGCCAAAAGATCAATGACAAAAATAATTGTTTTGATTCGTTTTTAGTTAGTTTTGTGTTGAAAAAACACAAAAAATGTTGCTTCTTGCTTTGAGTTTCAAACTATTTTGAATATTTCTGCTGCAATAATAGTTCTTGTACTTCAAACGTTGTTGTTTTTTGTGTTCATTTTCTTCCCAGCTGGCTCCCGACAGTATCCAGACAAGATGGCGAGTCCACACAGGAGTTTGCCAACAAAGTCCAGGAGGTAAAACCAATGTTTGCCGGTTGAGTGGATTTGTTAAAGCTTTAATTTTTCTAACAATATAAACAAATAAGAAGTTACACTAGGTCCCTCATTGGTGAACCTCAAAGATGTTTGCTTTAATAAGACAAAAAAAGAAGGCACCATTATAATGTATTTATTTATGATTTTCCCCCTCTATTGTGTTTTGATCGCACTCTTTTTTTAAAGGTCTCCTATCATGCACAATGCACATTTGTACGTCTTTCATACATAAATATGTGTCCCCGGTGTGTCAGGGAACTCACAAAGTGTCAGAAAACAAAACCCTCTCTCTTTTCCTCCGTACCCAAATCTCTAAAAACGGGGGCACAGCGGAGCTCATCCAGATTTGCGTCCGATATGACTTAATATCGGAAATGTGGACCCACGGCCCTATCAGAAAGTTGCTATCAGAAACAATGCCCGACGTGTGTTGGACGTTATATGGTCTTTGTTTATATTAGCATCGCTAACACTCAGAGCTAACGCTGTACTGGAGAGAGTATGTGTAAAAAAGCAGGAAATTAAAAAAAGGAACTTGCCTTGTGGCAAACCCGCAAGAGAAAAAGCATTTGAGCTCCATACTGTTTCAGAAATAATCTTTGAAG